CACTCACCTCAGCCTCCCAAAGTGTGAGATTACAGGCTGAGCCACCGAGCCCGGCTTCTCCCTCCCTTTTCTAAACCCAGGTCCCAGAGCACAGGGAGGTTCAAGCCTACACCCTGAGGAGGACCCCAGGTTGCCTGGTGATTAGCTCCCTGGCAGCTCCCTGGTGTGCAGAGAACCCCCAAGATGGCTACAGAATGGCGCCTTCAGACCCCCAACCTGCCTCTCCAGGTCTCTGGCTTCTGACTGTTGCTGTGCCTGTTCTGAGCCCCTGCCCTCCCCCTGCTGCTGTCTGCTCTCGCCCTCCTTGCCCTGGCCCTCTTTTCGGACCCCCATCCCTACCAGCGCCTGGCTCATGGCTCCCTTCCTCTCCTGTTCGTTGGCCTTCTTCCCCCTCCACACGTAGATCTTCAGGCCCCCCTGGTCCAGGATGTAACAGTCCTATAATTGGGAGATGTGAGAGTCTGAGGGAGCTGGGGATGCTGGGCTGGGACAGCCTCCAGCACAAGAAAGTCTCTTTCCCTCCCACACCCACCCCAGCACCCTGGAATTTCTCCTGCTTGGGGCAGAGGGTCCCGGTTGCAGTGGGCCTGGAGGCTCCAGTCCCTCTCACCTCGTGACTTAGCAGGTCCTGTGTGAGTGGACGTGTGGCGACCTCCCTAACAACCAGTTTCCCCTCGGAGTCAGACACACTGTAGAACAAAGGCAAAGCGTGGATGGGAGGGGGTTCCAAGGTACAGCCAGTCCCCAGCATCCAGGAAGGTCTTGCAGGGTACTCACTGATACAGCTTGAGGGCAGCCTTGAGTGCCGGCTCCACCACTGTGTCAGGAATGGCTGCCTTCAGCTCCCGGCGCTGGCCTAGCACGTGATTCATCACCTCCATCAGCTGTGGGGATGCTGCTTCATTCTCCCCATCCACCACTCCCACAGAGGCACGCCCGCCACGCTCCTGGTCTCGGATCTCCTTGGCCAGGGTCATGCCCTGCAGGAAGGCCCAGGTGACCCGTGGGGGATGGTGGAGGACAAGGCAGTGACCACCACCTCACACCCCACTGGGCAAGCCTAGCCCACTCATGGCAGCCTGCCCTGCTTTCCCCTAGGAGGGGCAGGCTTTTAAGGCGTGTAAGGAGACCAGGGAAAGCAGTCAGGAGAACAGCTTTCCCCCCTGGCAGAGGGATGCTCAGGCAGATTCCCTGGGCCTTCTGTTTTGACAGTGGATGGATTTGTGACTTGACTTCAAAAGAGCTGAGCCACAATGATCACAGTACTCAGCTTCTTTGTCCCAAAACACACTTGCACACTCATAGCACACCCACAGCCTCACACACATATCCACACATGTCCATACGCAGACAGCCCAGCCCCACACGTGCTCACATTCACCCATAGACTCACATACCTAGAGCAAGTCTCTCATGTGCTCACACACCCATGCACACACCCACTATGGCTCACCCTTCTTAGCACGGCTAATGTCTCAGTTACTACATTTTTGTGTGGTGGGGGGAGTCTCACTGTCGCCCAGGCTGGAATGCAGTGGCATGCTCACAGCCACCACAGACGCCGACCCGCTGGGCTCAGGTGATCCTTCCACCTCCTCAGCCTTCCAAGTAGCTAGAACCACAGGCACACACCGCCACCACGCCCGGTTATATATTTATTTATTTTTAATGGTAGAGACGTGGTCTCACCAAGTTTCCCAGGCTGGTTTCGAACCCCTGGACTCAGGCAATCCTCACGCCTCGGCCTCCCAAAGTGCTGAGATTACGGGCTTGAGCCACCACACTCAGCTGAGTTACTGCATTTTATCCTAGGCTCCTCTCAACACTGCCCCCCAGGCTGTTTCCCCAGGCCCAGGTCTCTGTAGATGCTGATGGCCATCTTTCCTAGCTCTCTGCTCTCATTTTATTTATCTAACTTCCAGGAAGACTGCCCCATGTTAAGATGAGCAGAACAGAGCTTCATGTTCTCCCTGAATGTGTGGCTTTCTGGACTCCATCAGAACCCTGGTTTGAGTTCTGCCTCACTACTTTCTCCCTCCACCCTCATCTATCTCACAAGGAAGGCTCACAATGGCTTCCATCTGGGCCTAGATGACCATCCCCTCACCTTCACCTAGATGGCTGCTGGGCTCCCTGCTCCCTGAAGCCTTTCTTGCCCCATCTCCACTTGGAAGTCAGAGTGAACTGCAGTGGCCTCCTGGGGTCCTGAGAATAAATCCCAACCCTCCTACACAGCCTTCTGCCACACAACCTGCCCCATGAGCTCCGCCCACCTTGCTCTCCAAGCTTCTGCTGCCCTGGTAGGTCCCTGAGCTGCCACCTTCCTTCCTGATGGAAGGAAGTTGCCCAGGTGGGTCTCGAACCCATGGGCTCAGGCAATCCACTCACCTCAGCCTCCCAAAGTGTGAGATTACAGGCTGAGCCACCGAGCCCGGCATCTCCCTCCCTTTTCTAAACCCAGGTCCCAGAGCACAGGGAGGTCCCAGGAGTCTTCCCCGAACCCCTCAGCGCCTTGCTCGCTACCCCTCCCATGTCACTTATCCAGTTATCTCCTTCACATCTGTCTCCCCCACTGAACAGCCAGCTGGAGGTCAGAGCAAGGGCATTCCTTCGTCTTAGTGGATTTGCCACAAGTGCACACACACAAGCTCTAACATGCATGCCTCTCCCGTTCACGGGGAGACTCAGATCCACTGTCACCCACGCGGTTCCCAACAGTCAGGCGAGAGGGGCCTGGGGGGGTGAGGGCCAAGCAGGGCAGGTGCTAGGTCTGCAGGAGCAGATGGGGCAGGCTGGTGCATGGGCAGGTTTACCCTGAGTCTCTCCATGCGATTACTCTCGGGTCCGTTCCACTGGATGATAAGCTTCCCAAGGTCCAGGAGGAATACATCCCCTCGGTTGAAACTCTGCCAGGACATCTCCACCTAGGGAGCCATCGGGGAGGAGGTACAGACCCCACTCAGAGCCCACCCATCATCCATCATCTTTGCCGCTCCCCCCTACCCCTCGTCCCTCGGGCCCTGCCCTCCACCCCGGGCCTGGCAGTCCTGGCCCATGCCCCAGTGGGGGCTGCCCACCTCTCCAGCCACCACGTTCCTCTTGCCCTTAACGTGCAGCAGCCGCTGGATGTTGTAGGAATTGGTTTCCACCTGCTTCATGCCAGAAGCCACGCCCCCTTTCCGGATCCTGAGAAGAGAGGTGAGCTGATCCAAGGGAGCAGGCTGGGAGGTGTGCAAGCCCCCTGTTGTCCCAGGTCCCAGGCTGCCTGGTTGCCACTGGGGCCACTTGAGGGCCAGGCTGGGATGGGGTGAGGGGAATGAGGCGCTTGGGGCACAGACTTTTAGGAGGCACTCACAGTCAGGGTCCTGTAAGTGCAGGGGGGCCTGCGACATGACTTTGTATGACCTTGAGGGTGAGAGCCATCTAAAGTCTACGCCCTAGATCCTCACTCAGTTCACCCTGGTCCCTGCCCTGCAAAGGGGCTTGCAAAAATGGGGCTGTGGTATATGGTGGGTAGGATAAGGACAGGGCCCCGAGGGCAGGGGATTGAAGCGGAAGAAAGAAAGGGAGAGTAGTCACACCAATGCCCACAGGAGAGGACTGCGGCTGTATGTGGGAAGAGAGAAGCGAGACAAAAGGGAGGGCTGGGGACCATGGTCAACTGGGGAGCTCCTGGCCTGTCCTACAGGTCAGTAGCAACCCAGCCCCAGAGCATGTGTTTCCGTGGGGAAAGCCAAGAGACCGGAACTTCAACTTGTACAGAAAAGTCGGCAACCTGGGCTTGTAGTGTGGTAGGCCAGCTTTCAAGAAGAGGAAGCAGACATGTGCCTGTTCATCAGGGAGTGGGTCTTGATTAAACACGGAGCTCCCTGGGGCATTCAGATGGGAGCTGATTTACAGAAACACCCGAGAGTTACGGAATGTCAGAGTGGCTTCCGGAACAAGGAAGTGGCAGAAACAAGGGTGAAGGAAGATCACCCAAAATGTGTGAGGGTCCCCCTGGAGGCTCCCCGACAACTTCCCAGTCCAGGGTCTTCTCTCCCACCCCCCTCAGGTCTGGCTGACTCTCCTCTTCAGCCCAGCCCCCACCTGCCCCCCTCCATCACTAATCCTCATCCCCTGCCTGCCCCTGGAGCGCGCCCCTCCTACACAAGGCCCTGCTTGAAGTAGCCTCGGAAGGCCTCGCTCTCGTTGCCCTGGACCTCGCGGTGCTGGACAGCCCGGCCCTTCAGGAAGTCGTCCATCTGCGTGGTGTAGATGGCAGCTGCCCCCTGCTCATCCTGGGACGAGTTCTGGCCGATCCAGTAGTGGATGTCATAGGACAGGGAGCTGCCCGTCTTGTGGATCTAGGGAGATGGGGTCCAGTGTACCCAAGGTTCTGGGCTCCCACAGCCCCTCCTGCTCTGTGTAACCTCCCACATACATGCCATCTGGGACCGCGGGCGAGCTTGGCACAGAGAAAGGGCACTGGGCTGGCAATCAGGAGCCCTGAGTCATGGCCCAACTCTGCCACTGACGACCTGGACGAGGGGCAACTGGCTTCCCCATCTCTGAAATAACTTGCTTGGACTATTACAGTATTTCCCAAAGTGACATGCATGGGCCATCAGAGGTCCATGAGGGGACTGGGTGGTATACCAACAAATGCACTTATGAAATGATTATGCAAATATGTTATAGCCCCTTTCTGTTTGTGATGCGTGACGCCACTTTTCAGTAATGATGTAGAGTTACACTGTTAAATATATTTGAGCCGGGCTCGGTGGCTCAGCCTGTAATCCTGCGCCTTTGGGAGGCTGAGGTGAGTGGATTGCCTGAGCCCTCAGGTTCGACACCCGCCTGGACAACTTGGCGAGACCTCATCTCTACAATAAATCAGCTGGGCGTGGTAGCGCGCGCCTGTAGTTCCGGCTACTTGGAAGGTTGAAGCGAAAGGATCGCCGGAGCCCAGCAGGTTGAGGCTGCAGTGGCCGGGAGCGGCCACTGCACTCCAGTCTGGGCGACAGAGTGAGACTCCAACTCAAAAAAAAATAATATGTATATATTTGAAATTTAAAAGTGAGTCAAGGCGGGCATGGTGGCTCACGCCTGTAAACTCAGCACTTTGAGAGGTGGAGGCAAGACGATTGCCTGAGCCCAGGTGTTCGAGACCAGCCTGGGCAACTTATTAAGACCTCGTCTCTACAAGAAATCAAAAAATTAGCCGGGCAGATGGCGTGTGTCTGTGGTTCCAGCTACTTGGAAGGCTGAGGAGGAAGGATGGATGAGTCCAGCGGGTCAAGGCTGCAGTGGCCCTGAGCATGCCGCTGAACTCTAGCCTGCGTGACAGAGTGAGACTCCTACTCAAAAAAAAAAAAAAAAAAATGCGAGTCA